CCGAGCCCGAGCCTGGCCCGAGGATGGCATACCGGCAGGCCTCATCATCGGGGTACGAGCTCCCATCAATGGAGGCATCAAATATATGTGACGGTAAGTGGCGTAGTCCCCCTTCTCAATATATAGTAAAGCATCGCTACCCAGCATGGCGCCGATTACCTCCGAGTAAGAGAGCTTGTCAGCAGTCCGCATACTGACTGGGGGTACTGCGGGAGGATCCTGAGAAAGATATCCCCATACCTGGCGCAGAAAGCGTTCCCCCAGGAACCATGCCCTGCCGACCAGCCCTTCGAGCAAGACCCTATACTGGGAGATGTCCGACCCTCCGGTATACTGAAGTCGGAGACCATCACCCAAGGACACCCAGGGCTGCCATGTGATCTGCGGATGATAAATATATAAACCAATTAGAAATCGAGAATACACAGAGCAAATCAAAGATTGAAAATGAAAGGAACTGAAAGTTCTGAGGTACCTCTGAATGTCGCACAGTGTCAAAGTACTGTCGCAGGTAAAAGAGGGTCTCTCGAGGTCTCGGCTGGTGCGGGCCCTCGAACACCAGTGAATACGGGGTCATGGGAGGGGCTGCCACCTCCAACCCTGCGGCTAATGACGGGAAGTATACATAGACCCATAACTGAGAAAAGCAGTGGAGAATGTAAGTACGAAATGCTGAGAGCAAAGTACAGACTGTAAAAGTGCGCTATGGGTGCAATGTACAAGTAATGAAGAGCAGAAATGTAAATCAAGGGGACAGAAAAGTACCTCCCAGGCTCTCCAGTAGCCGCCAAGTAAATCGCCCCGCCCGCGGGAGGTCGCGCTCATATAAAAGTAAAGGGTAGCCAGGCCGGCGCCACCCCAGTCATATCGATGGACCTGTGATAGGTCAACCAGAGCACTCAGCAGGTATAGCCCGACGGTGTTCCCTCTGTCGGCGAACAGGGTAGTCCCGAAGAGGAACATAAGGAAACCACGGGCGTACTGCTCCGTCTCCTCAGGAGTCTCGGGCACCATCTCCGCCCGCCGGAAGTGGGAAGAGAACCAAGTGTATCGGACTCTCCCAGAAACCCTGTCAACAGGCGGGCGAGCCCCCAATAGATACATCCAAGCGGCCTCCCACTCGCCCATATCCTCATCATAGGGGATGGCCCAACCTCCTATGTCTAAGCCAGTCAACACAGCGATGTCTAGGGGCGTCATGGTCATGTCTCCAGTGGCAGAGAAATGAAAGGAGTTGGTGGTGTCCCACCATCTCTCTACCAAGGCTGCCATCAAAGTCCTCCTGGCAGAGCAACGAGACAACCCGACGCAGAAGGGCCCGAACCCTGCCAAGTCTACCAAATCCCGGACGCCCTCCAGGAGCTCGGCATACCAATCCCGCGCGGCAGTGGAGCCATACCCCCGTACGCTGCGAGAACTAACCTGCATTCAGAATGAATACATGTGTCAGTACAAAATGAATGGGCTATGTGCCGATGAAATGAACTGGGCTGTGTGCCAATGAGATGACCTGGGCTGCGTGTTCAGGAAATTTAAACTTTCTATCAGTGTGGGCTGCGTGTTAACTATTCATCTGGGCTGCGTGTTCAGGAAATTGAAAGTTTGGCCTGCGTGTTCAACTTTCTATCAGTGTGGGCTGCGTGTTCACTATTTAATCTGGGCTGCGTGTTCAGGAAATTTAAAGTTTGGGCTGCGTGTTCACTATTCATCTGGGCTGCGTGTTCAGGAAATTTAAAGTTTGGGCTGCGTGTTCAACTTTCTATCAGTGTGGACTGCGTGTTCACTATTTAATCTAGGCTGCGTGTTCAGAAAATTTAAAGTTTGGGCTGCGTGTTCAACTTTCTACTAGTGTGGGCTGCGTGTTCACTATTTAATCTGGGCTCCGTGTTCAGAGAATTTAAAGTTTGGGCTGCGTGTTCAAATTTCAACTAGCGTGGGCTGCGTGTTCACTATTCATCTGGGCTGCGTGTTCAGAGAATTTAAAGTTTGGGCTGCGTGTTCAGAAAATTTAAAGTTTGGGCTGCGTGTTCAAATTTCAACTAGTGTGGGCTGCGTGTTCACTATCTAATCTGGGCGGTGTGTTCAGAAGTGTGGGCTGCGTGTTCACTATTCTAATCTGGGCTATGTGTTCAAAAAATTTAAAGTGAGGGCTGTGTGTTTTACAAATCAGTGTTTGAGCCGTGTGTTCACCTCTTAAACTAATGTGTACTGTGCGTTCGCAATTAATTAATGAGCTGAGTGTTCAGATATTCGAGTGTTTAAACTACATGTTCAGGATGCAAGCAAAGTACTATGTCATAAGCTAAACTGCGTGTTCAAGCATGGCAAAGGTGCGAAATCTACGAAAAATACAGAAAATGAAGTAAATACCTCTCGGGCCTCATGAGAGAGGTGATGCTCCGGCTCTCGGAGAAGCAGATCCCCGGGTGCTCGCTCGTCAAAGCTAGTAAAGTGACGGAAGACAGCACGAGGGAGGACGTGTGCTGAAGGACGGTACCTCCCGGGAATAAAAGGTCGGGTCCTCGGGGGTAGAGTCATGGGATCGATATCTATCTGGGCTGCGTGTTCAGAAAATTTAAAGTCTGGGCTGCGTGTTCAACTTTCAGTTAAATTGTGGACTGCGTGTTCACTATCTATCTGGGCTGCGTGTTCAGAAAATTTAAAGTCTGGGCTGCGTGTTCAACTTTCAGTTAAATTGTGGACTGCGTGTTCACTATCTATCTGGGCTGCGTGTTCAGAAAATTTAAAGTCTGGGCTGCGTGTTCAACTTTCAGTTAAATTGTGGACTGCGTGTTCACTATCTATCTGGGCTGCGTGTTCAGAAAATTTAAAGTCTGGGCTGCGTGTTCAACTTTCAGTTAAATTGTGGACTGCGTGTTCACTATCTATCTGGGCTGCGTGTTCAGAAAATTTAAAGTCTGGGCTGCGTGTTCAACTTTCAGTTAAATTGTGGACTGCGTGTTCACTATCTATCTGGGCTGCGTGTTCAGAAAATTTAAAGTCTGGGCTGCGTGTTCAACTTTCAGTTAAATTGTGGACTGCGTGTTCACTATCTATCTGGGCTGCGTGTTCAGAAAATTTAAAGTCTGGGCTGCGTGTTCAACTTTCAGTTAAATTGTGGACTGCGTGTTCACTATCTATCTGGGCTGCGTGTTCAGAAAATTTAAAGTCTGGGCTGCGTGTTCAACTTTCAGTTAAATTGTGGACTGCGTGTTCACTATCTATCTGGGCTGCGTGTTCAGAAAATTTAAAGTCTGGGCTGCGTGTTCAACTTTCAGTTAAATTGTGGACTGCGTGTTCACTATCTATCTGGGCTGCGTGTTCAGAAAATTTAAAGTCTGGGCTGCGTGTTCAACTTTCAGTTAAATTGTGGACTGCGTGTTCACTATCTATCTGGGCTGCGTGTTCAGAAAATTTAAAGTCTGGGCTGCGTGTTCAACTTTCAGTTAAATTGTGGACTGCGTGTTCACTATCTATCTGGGCTGCGTGTTCAGAAAATTTAAAGTCTGGGCTGCGTGTTCAACTTTCAGTTAAATTGTGGACTGCGTGTTCACTATCTATGAGAGTCAAAGGCCTTCATTTCCCTCTGTTTCGGATGCGTTCCGGTGCCCAGATCGTCAGAAGTACGCTCTGTTGTTGCTGAGTTTTGTTTATCGAGTTGTTGTTTTGCTTATCGAGTTGTTTGTCGAGCGGACGTGTTTCGTGTTTTTGAGTCATTGCGCTCTGTTTAAGCAATCTTTGTTTAAATCTTGTTTATTTGCGTTGTCAACGTTATTGCATTTTGTTTATCGAGTTGTAAACTTGCTAAAGGTTCTGTTATATCTTAGTAAGTTGATTTGCTTAGTTTGTTGCATCAGTTCACTACCTGACTTGGTGATTACACAATGCGCATTCCCATTCAATTTCATTTTTGTGTGAAATAAAATAATGCGATACGATGCTAAAAGTTTAAAATACAAACACCTTTTCAAAAGTTGTTTCATTCCATCATGCTTTACAGCAAACAAAGGTACAAGTTTTACAAAAAATAAAACTGCCTAACAATGTGCAAAGTGCTACAAACTACTAGCAAAAGAAAAATAAAGCAGAAAACAGCAGCGTCAATGTCCTCGGGAGCGGGAATGAGAAGCACTCTTCATCCTCTTCTGCGGAACAACCTCTGCACCATCATCATCATCTGAGTCGGAGCTGTCATCCTCAGGATCCCCCTCAGCCTCACCTCTATTCCCCGAACCAAGACCGGAGCCCCCCTCCTCAGCAGATGTCTCTGACTGACGGTCGGTAGCCTCCTCCTCCTCCTCATCATCCTCCTCCTCCTCATCAAGCTCCGCCTCTACAATGTGAGCCCTGCGTCTGCGGACAGCCCCTCCTCGAGCTCCTCAAAAAGGCCTAGATGGCCCGGCTCCTCGGAAAGGCCGGGATGGCCCAACCCCCTTAAAAGGCCCGGATGACCCAACTCCCTGAAAAGGCCCAGACGGCCCAGCTCCCCAAGGAGGCCCAGGTGGCCCGGCCTGCGGCTGACCGGACCATGAAGGCATCTGAAAACAAAGAGTTCAATTCAAAAACATCAGTCCAAATATATACATCAGATGCAGATAACAAGCAAAGGCTACGTGAAGTGGGTGCATGTAAATACAGTGTACAAGTGGGGTGTGTGTCAGATGTGCTCTACACAAGTAGTCTATCGATGCAGTAGAAATCAGCATGTCATCAGAAGTATGATAAATGCCAGAAAACTGAAGGGTACCTGAATGCCCGCGACAGACAACTGTGCCTCCCTACGCAGGACCATGCCCTCGAGTGTGGCCACCAGTCCAACCACTTCCTCCATGTACCCTCGCGGTGGCTGCAAATATGAGCTCATAATCATCAGTGAACAAAAGAATGTCTAAACATCTGAATGATGAATGAAAAACAGTGGAGCATACCAGCGGTGAGTCAGGGTCAATGGCGTATCGATCACTAGGCATCGGAGGCTCTAGCGGGATCGGGGTCGGAGAGATAACTCCATACTGCCACGCCATCAACTCAGTTGGCATATCTGGCCATCCAGGATGAGGATAAGTCGACGGAATCAGAGGAACCGGTCTACCCCCACCTCTAGATGCACCAGCCCCGCTGGCGGAAGGGGTGTCTGCAGCCCGAGCCCGAGCCTGGCCCGAGGATGACATACCAGCAGGTCTCGTCATCGAGGTGCGAGCTCCCGTCAATGGAGGCATCAAATATATGTGACGGTAAGTGGCATAGTCCCCCTCCTCGAGATATAGTAAAGCATCGCTACCCAGCATAGCGCCGACTACCTCCGAGTAAGAGAGCCTGTCAGCAGTCCGCATACTGACTGGGGGTACCGCGGGAGGATCCTGAGAAAGATACCCCCATACCTAGCGCAGAAAGCGTTCCCCCAGAAACCAGGCCCTGCCAACCGGCCCCTCGAGCAGGACCCTATACTGGGAGATGTCCGACCCTCCGGTATACTGAAGTCGGAGACCATCACCCAGAGACGCCCAGGGCTGCCATGAGATCTACGGATGAT